TCAGTCCAGGAAGGGTCTACCCACAGGGAGACTGAGTCACTGGGAACAAGACTACTTGCTACCACAAGGGTCCAGAGAACAAGGTGGGCCCACTCCTCCCAACCCCTACCCCTACCCTGGCCACATCTTGGCACATCACCCTGGGTTTGCCATTCATTGCTGGCATCTCCATGGAAACCCCTCATCTCACCTCCTCAGGACCTAATGCTTGGTTTGCCAGGAGTGTTGAGGGAGCAGCATACAGACCCGTGGACGCCCACATCAAACAACATACTCCAGTGTCATCTTTGTGGCCTCATGTTTACAGGCCTGGGTTGTACCCCAGCCCAGCATCCGGCCACCCCCTGAAGTTAGAGGTCTGAGCTCCAGCGTGTGTCTCTGCCTTCTCAGAAGCCCAGGTTTCTCTCTTGGGACAGAGTTAGTGACAGGGAAGTCCCTGCTCTGTTCCCAGGGGAGTTGAAAGGAGCCACCACAGTCCAGAATGCTATCTGTAGTCTGGCCCCCCTTAGAGTGTCCCCACTTTGTTGACCTTTGTTGAACTAATGTTGCCTGAGCCCCAGCTCAGGAAGCAAGGCCTGAGGCCCAGGAAAGCAGCAGCCCTAGCAACCAGCCAGGGTGTTTGCAGGGAATGCATCTTCAACAGGAAGGCAGGGAGGGAACAGGCTGAGGGGAGGTACAGGGGGCCACCTCCAGGCTCCAGATGGCATCCTGACCATGGGAAGGGTTCACACTGCCCCTGGTCCTGGCCCAGCATCCTGGTAGATGGTCAGCAATGCCTGTCAGGCTCAGACCATTGGTCGCCTGTACCTTACCAGGAGCCAAACTCACTGCTGAGGGATCCATTTGGGTGAAGCACCATTGTGTTTCCCCCAAAATGAACGGAGCAGCTCATGTGCCCCAGGCCTCAAGTTGCCAGGCCCTGGCTGGCCTCACCTCAGAGGGCAGAGTTGTAGCCACGGTGGCTGCCCATCAGGCACCTGGGTGGGAGCTGGGCACCAGGCTAAGGTCTGGAGGAATCTCCCTTTATGGATGAGGAAACTGAGTCACATATCCAAAGTCAAATGGCTAGGAAGTGATCATGTTACTGTTGGACCAGATCTGTCCAGCTTCTGTGCTCAGCTGCTGCCTGGACCCCCTCCACCCCCATATTAGGGTCTGTTAATGAACTCAGGACACAGAGATTCTCATGAACAGCCCAGAGCCTTCATGAGACCCCTTACCTCGAGCTCCAAGGGCCGCCAGCCCTCGGGAGCCAGAGGAAGATACTTGCCAGCTCGCACAGATCTGCTTCTCCAGAACAGTGAGGTTATGTGAAGGAGGAGCAGTCTATCATGAGACTCTGCTGAAGGGATGGTTAGGAGTGGGATGGGCCCAAGGGCAAGCTAAACTGGGTTTGAAGAGGGCAGCAGGGTGACTACCTTGCACAACTGTAGGGAACACCAGGCTCGTTGTAAGTGTGCAGTGTACAACCTGTGCTGCTGTACTGAGCAACAGGAGCTGTAGGAGCCATCAGCATGCCCATTGATGAGACCAGCTTTCCTTCCCTGGGGACAGGGAGTGCCTGCAGGCTTGTGGGCCCCAGCACTCAAAAACAGATGTCCTGCCAAGTTGAGGGGCCAGTAGAGACCCTTCAGCCATCCCTGTTGGCCCTAGCCCTAGCCCTGCTCCAGAGAAAGGGGCAGGCCTCCTCCCCCCTCATCCCTGGACCCTGTTCCAGGCCCCAGCTGGCTTCCTGGCTGGCTGCTAGCCCTGGCTTTCACCCCAAAGGGAGCCACTCGTAAACAGGAAATGCTTCCCAATGCGATGCCTGCTCTGGGCGCCTGCTGTGGGCCCTGTTGCCAGCCCACAGGCTGGAGGCCATATCCAAGCAGCAGTGTTGACTGGTCTCACCAACTACGGGGATGGGGATGTTCATGGGGCTCCTCAACTCTTCGGGGCTGTTGGGGAAGGATTTCTGTGCCTGAGGCAGACAGACTCCCCGAGGTTGAGTTCCACCAGCCTGTGGCCCTGCCCTCCTGCATCTGGTGCTGCCCCCTTCCAGCAGCCCCCACGTGTGCCAAGCCATTGACACTGAGCCCTTCTGCTCCCTCTCCCCAGAGATAGTCTGAAGGCAGCCCCCAAGTCACAGAAAACAGACTCCCCCAGCATCGACTATGCAGAGCTGCTGCAGCACTTTGAGAAGGTTCAGAAGAAACACCTGGAAGTGAGGCACCAGCGGAGTGGGCGCGGGGATCACCTGGACCGGAGGGTTGTCCTCTGACAGGCCTGGCATGGAGAAGGGCCCAAGGAGTGGTCCGATGGAGCACTTGGGATCCTCAGGCCCCTTCCCCACAGAGCCTGAGGACCTGCTTCCAAAGCAGGGCTGGCCCTGCCACCAGCCCTGGGATGGGGGAGAGGGGAGGGGGTGGAGGAGGCAGTTCTGTCTACCTAAACTCCTCTCTCAGCCCAGCCCCCTGGGCCCCCAGCCCTGTCCAACATTCAGATAGAGCTGGCTTCCCACCAGGGTGGGGCCACAGCCTCAGATGCCACCTATCCTCTGGAATAGGTCTCTTTCTAATACCCTCTTGTAAAAGAGCTTGACCTCCCTAGCCCACCAGAGCTCTGGCCTCATGCAATGTGTGTGTACATACCTGTGTGCACATAGGGGCCAGCACGGAGGTCCATATGAATGATGCATCCCCTGCCCCAATAAAGAAATGACAGGAAACCCTCAACTTGCCACTGCCTGCTCCTTCCCACTGACGTCTGCCCCTGCCTTATGCTGCAGCTGCCCCAGGACCTTGCCACCTATCCTGGATACCTGGTCTCATGGTAGCCCCAAGGAGTACTAGCTGCGTGGGGAGAGTCTGGTTACTACACACTCACTTGATAAGTGTGGGCCCTGAGGGACCCAGCTCACCCCTAGGACCTGCCCCTTCTTCGTGGAGAGCACTAAGCACTGGCCTGCCAGGAACCACACGGGCACCTAATCTGACTTTTCCATCCTGGTTGCCGAGGGGACAATGGAACATGTCCCTATTGGACAGATGAAATGAGTTCACCTCAGGAGTTTCTGAATGAAAGGGCATGGCACACTGCAGAACTGCAGATCACAGGATGGAAAGGAAGGCCCAGACTAGTGCAAGGAGGGAGGGAGCTTCCCAGGTGCCCATCCTTTGGTTTAGTTAAATGAACCTCATCTCACTGTACCTGAAGGCCTGGGTGTTCCTTGACTCCCTACTTTAGGAAGCTTCAAATTGGTCTAACAGCTCCTAAGTGACTCTCAGGGCCCCTGGGGTAGAAAAGGAGCTTTTCCCCAGAGCCCCAGCGTCTGTCGGGAGTGGGAGGGGGGTGCTGCTGGAGTCTCCAGGAGTCGGGCTGTAACACTGGCTCTGGCCCACGTGCACACGTGTCCACACAGGTGTACCCAACCATCAGGGCCTGGGGACGTAGCCCACTTCTGCCCCACTGGTCCAACAGGGTCCTCACCCCATGAAAGGAGGTTGCCTGAGGACCAGGACGCTACTACCCCAAAAGTCAGGCGCCCAATTAGGGTGGAATCGGAGCCGCTTGGAAAAGGACCCAGAGAACTTCTGGAGGAGGGTCCGAACTCATCTGTGCCTGGGGTGAAACGCCCCTAGGCGGGCGGCGCTCGGGACACCTTGTGCCCCTTATGTGTGGGGTGTGGGCGTCCTACGGGAGGCTCCCAGGGGGCCCCAGCCCTCGGAGGGTCTGCTGGAAGCGCGGGAAGCCCCCGGCCGGGGACCAAAGCTGAAAGGCAGTGGTGAGCTCCTACTCGGGGGCGGTCCCACCCCCTCGGGGTGGCCGGCA